CAAAACTGGTCCTTTTATTTTGACTGTGAGTGCATGGGGGCGAGGAAGACAGGGACAGCTAACACGGTTTGGTGGCACTGATCTGGTTCACACTAAAGTACCAGCAGTTTTACTCGCTTTCACTTTTACACCATCAGTGCAGATATCAAAACATTGCAAGGGGCAAATAATATACGCCTATTATTACGAAGACGGTTTTGACCTTGCAGACGCATTGGAGGCACGTTGCCGCGGCAGGGATTGTACGCACTGCTGCGTTAACACACACACTCCAGTGCGAACAGGCAGCCCAGGCAGGAGCTGGCTCCTGGAACCTGGTGAAGTTAACTAACTGGTCCTCAGAGTACCAAGTTATAAACACGAAGGTGACCTCCCACTCTGCCAGAAGAGAGCTGTTTTGTTAATTTCCAACTCCTAGAAAGCATTAATAAAATATCAAAGGAGTTACAACAAACTAGGAGATTTTGAGAAAGAAAGGGGTTAAAAAAAAAAAAGCCAACAATGTAAAATGGAACCTAAATCTTGAAAGCCTCGCCACCTACCAATGATTTCCTTCACGAGAATGGGCTGAGAGTAGTACTTGGGCTCGCTGGCCCCCGCCGCGTTGATAGCCTTCACGCGCACAAAGATCTTGGCATCCGTCGGCAGACCTGTGATGGTGAACTTCGTCTTGTCGATCAGCTCTGTGTTCGCAACTATCCAGTCCTCAGCTAAAGTCCATAAAAGAAAAAGATAAGGAGGAGGAACAGTCTTTAGTGACAGAAGTCATGCTAAGTATTATAGTCAACTCCAAATTAGTATTTTGCTCATAACTAAACTCAGAGAGATTATGACTTTGGTCTGCACTCACACGACCTGGGTGAGCATGTTTCACATATTTAAATCAAAAATGGCCTCAAATGGCTAACATAAACAACGGGAAAAATAAACTGTCAGGTTCTACCAATTCTGGAAAACCTCTTATTCAGGATTAAAGTATCCTGAATAATAGTAACTGTCCCCAAGAATTTTGCAGCAGTTTTATTCCAATTTGGTTTTATAATGATTGATGTAATCATGGTATCTAACCATCTATCTACATTAAAGTTCAGAAAAACAAGAAAATTCTATTTTTATGAATCAGAAATATTGACCTGTATAGTCCATATAATCTCTCTATTTTATCTCGGCTGGTTCGTTATTGTGAGACACTAATCTGCATAATCAGTATAATCTGATCATATTAATTCACATTCATGAAGAAAGAATAGAAATTTACATCCACAAAAAGAAAACACAGCTCACAAGCTGATACCTTAAAAGAAATTGGTAAAATTCTATCCCCTCAGCCAAAAATCTAGTTTTTTTTTTCCTTAATTTTATTTTTTAGTTTTTGGTAGCTTTTTCTACAACATCAAGAGAACTTAAACTCAGCATCTAGGGCTTACAAATATTTCAGCTTCTAAAAGTTAGGAACGTTATGCCCATAGGACAAAAGAAGGCTAGGATCCCACATTATTAAGTCATTGTCCACCCCTACCCCACCCCACCCCAGCTCTCAGGGCTTTGTGTGTGTGTGTGTGTGTGGTGGACATACTTCATGCCTGTTCATGGAACATTCCCAGAAACGTTATCCTATTGTAAGAAAGTTCGAGAGTGTCACAGAATACTTTACCTGGTAGATCATACGCAGCCTCCCCATTTTCATCAGACTGTTTTGCTGATGTACCTTTGAGAATCCGTCATTAAAATTAATTAAAGACACCCACTTTCACACCAGAAGAGTATCGTATCAGCAGTCAGCATTCTCTGTTAGTAAAGTATGCAAAGTGTGCAAAGAAATTTGTCTTCAGAGCAGTGAGAGAAGAGACCAAATGTGTTAGAGGGTTCCTCAGGGGAGGCACGGCCTGCTCTGCGCAGACCATGGTTTTGGTCCTGAGGCAGCCGCCACAGAGAAGAGGAGGGAAAAGAAAAGAGAAGAAAAGAGGAGGAGAAGGAGGCTGGGGCACCTCCAGCTGTGAGAAGAAGAGACAGAGAAGAACAAGCAAGATCCTGAAGAAAACAGAGGTGTGGAGGTCCTAGAATCCTCAAGGGAGCCACGTACAATGAACAGTCTATCCTTGTTCCTGTCCCTGCCACTCCAGCCTGGGAGGGTCCTCTCAGGTCCCCAGGGGACAGGGTGCTTCCACAGTGGGGCACCCTCATCAAAGTCCGGAAGTGCGGGCACTGGTGATAAGGGCAGCCCTTTCTTACCAGGGCTCAAGTTCTTGTTCTTTTATTATTATTATTTTTTTAAGATACAGATCCCATAAAAGGGCTCAAGTTCTGAGTGGAAATGGTGGCTGCCCCAGCAGCTCAAGAGGCAGCCCTGGTTGCCATGACAATGAACTCTGTGACAAGAAAACAAATGGAGCCTTCCCTGGTCCCTACATTTCACACGGGTGGCTCACAGGGTGGTCTTGGGCATGCCCCACTGGTTTGGGATGATGACTTTATTGGTGTCAGGAGAGAAGCAGGGGAGTGGGGACAGGACTTCTGGCCCCTTGGAACCTTTGCCTCTCTCTTGATCCAACCCTACTGGGAATATCAAGAGACGTGGCAGGAAGTCAAAATATCCTGGCAGCTGGGAGGGTACGCGGAGGATAAAAATTACCAGTGATTTTGAAAGAGAGATACATCTTTAAGTGAATGGTCTGTTTGGGAACTATAATGTTGGTGTTTGCATAGTCAAGAGACAATTGATGAGAACATGAAAATAGGAGACTGAGAAAACATGTACAAAAGAGTGAAAAACTAGTAAAAGAGAAAGTTTCAAGAGACAACAGGACGAAACAAGATGAGAGAGGAAAAAAGACAGCCCATCTCTTCACATTTCAACTACTTTAATGGAGGAAAACAAAGAGAAAGAAAACGGTGTCCCTGGGGATGGGGAAGGAATATGTAAGTTATTTAACAACGTGAGGAGAATTTTTAAGAAAGGAAAGAAAGAACTAGAGTGGAGGAAGAAAAAAAAGGAAGAGTGAAGTGTTTCAGGCATTAAAAAAAAACCAAAAACAAGAGAAAGGCAGAGTCCAAAACAACACACGATCTTATAAAAGAAAGAAGTCTCTTACAGAATAAAACCTGACATATCTCAAAGCATTAAACACTACAGAAAATTAGTCTAGAGGACAACAGCCATTAAAAGAGAATGAAGAATAGGCAGCCACATAAAGAAAATAAGAAAAGACTACAAGAAGAAAGATATACACGTTATGAGAGAACTTCCATAGAAAGCTAATTCCAAAACGTTATGTGACAAAATATACATAAGAAATGACTGTGTACATATACATATGTATACACAGATATACATATGTATCTACACAGACCACACGCAAAATTATGTAAAATACACTTCATTGTATTTTATCTAAGGTGGGTAACATCAAAATGACAGCCATCTATCATTTTGCTGTATCTTCTTACTTTTTAAACCTATCAGAAAGAAAAGAGTAAAGAATTTGCTCTGTTTCATACATACACAAAAGGTTTGTGTTCAGCAGCCACATCACATACAAGATTGGGAAATTCTGCTGGCTGGGCAATATAAAAACAAAGAGGAGTGCTCAAGATTTTTTTTTTAAATCAGGGGAAAAACAGAATAGGAATAAAGCATATTCTGAAGTGCTCAAGGACTTACTTGTTGCGTTAGTGACACCACCCCGCCTCCCTTGCTGGGCTAACCCTGGGAACTTTCTTATAATGTTTCCACGGGTGGCTTTTTAAACCCAGGAAAAATTCAAACATAGGATTCGGTGAATGGAGTGTGTGTCAAAGGAATTGAGTGACAGCAGGATGCCCCCTCTCCTCTTCTTCCCTCCACACCAGCGACAATCATTTCCATGGCTGCTCCACTCCAGGGGTCTGGGATTTCTTTTTCAGTAGTTTTCTCTTCACAAGAAGTTTCTTCTCCATAGTGGTTTTTCTCCGGGGGAGGCACATTTGTGTTCCTGATTTCCCAAATGTGCTCTGTCATCTCCTTCCTTCCTTCACTTGGAGGATCCATGCTAAAGTTTGGGGTCCAAAGAGTTTTCTTTAGATGCTAAGTCTTGGGCTACTGTTTGTGGAATATGGACAAGCTTCCCTGTGGATTGTTTACCTACCATCCTCTAGAACGGAGCCTAAGTCCAGAGCAGGGGCAGTTTTATTCAGCCATTTTCAACTGTCATCCCCTTCTAGTCATGGCAAATGGGAAACCAAGAAACACAGCAGGATTTTTGGTGAATTTCACTTTTTTTTTTTTTTTGGTTTTTAGGTATACTCTGGCACGTATTTTCTCATGTCAGTTATTCTTCTATTATTTCTATCAGTGATTTTTTTGTTTTTTGGGCCTTGTTCCTCTTCCCCTCCTAAATTTAAGTGATTAAATTTTTATATATCCAAGCCCTAAGATAAATGACTGCTACATGTTGAATCTATTTCTTATACCCTCTGGGATTTAATGCTGCTTCCTTTAAAACTAAGAGCTGTTTTTAATTCTTCTTCTGCATTTTTCTTTTCCTTTAAGAAGGCAGGAGATGATCACCAGATAGCCAAATATGTAGTCTGTCATTATACCCATAACAGGCAGTTCTTTTGATAGCTAAGTTCTGCTCAGCATAGGTTTTAGAATTTCCAATTGGCTTCATCTTGTCTAGACTTTTATTTTGCAGGGGTACAATTCAATTCCACCAGTTGAAGAAGTGGTAGTCCCTGAAGTTTTTTCAGAGCCCCTTCTTCCTATGTCTTAGTTCAATCGTGTTGCACAATCTGGCAGCTTAGCCAGGATATTTTTGAGATGTCAATTTATTAGCATCAAGTACTAAAGAAGTGCTAAATTTTTACACATCTCAGAAGGATGATATTTGGCTTGATCTTGTTTTCAGTAGGAAGGAGATGAGTTCCCAAGAAAGAGAGACAAAAGAAAGGGGGGCATATCTCACCTATTGATGACAGTATTCATTTTATCTGCTAGTTGTACTTACTTCCTTCAAAGCAATACTCTAGCACATAGCCATCTAAACCTGCTGCACCAATCTGGTCTGGGGGCCGCCACTTCATGGTGACAGTTGTGTCAGTGACAGAGTCAACAGTCAGAAGAGTAGGAGGGCTGGTTACAGCTTAAAGATAAAAAAGACAGAAAAAGAAGAAACTATTAACTACAGAGTTATGGCACAGGAACCACGATAAAATGAACTGGGATATAAATAAAAATAGACACAGAAGCCCTACATCTTAATAAAATTCAACTGAGACTCATGAGCATGGTTGTGTGCAAGGCGAAGATCTGATAAACATGAGAATTTTGGAAATGCTACCAGGCATTTCCTCCAGTTTGGGAGGTTAGTGTGGGAGGCTGGGAGACCTAAGGAAGTTGAAGAAGTCAAAGTTCATAATCTAATGATCTAGAGTAAATTTCCTATAACTCTCTAACTTTCAAGTACAAACTCTTGCACTAAATCTTTCTATTGAAAAAATACCTCCCTACCAGAAAATAGTGGAGACATCTCATCTCCTGTTTCTTTGCCTTCACTGAACTGACTTTTTTTGGTTCAACAGATAACATTTAAGACGTGATTATAAAGAAAAGAAACTGGTTTCCAAGTGTGGTTTATTGAACTGATCTCAATTTTTTTTTTCAATGCTGTCCTTCAGAAATGAAGAACTGATCTCCATTTGTTTTAGTTGTAATGTTTACACCAAGATGCTGGGTTATACCCTCACAAGGACAAATTGAGAGTAGTCATGTGTTAATGTACTCAGCTACATGTTTTCAGTGGGGAGTGGCAACTGGAGCCACCCACAGCTGTCACTGGAATTCTGGTAATGAATTCAAGGGCCTATATTTTGAAGATATTCAACTTCCACCAAAGTTGCTTTTTAATTTCTTAGACAGAAAATTGCCCCAACTACTTCCAACCCCCTGCCCATCCAACGCTCTAAGAAGCCTCTGGGACTGTTCCAGTTAGAGGTCAGAAGGAAAGCAGTTATAACCTGGAGCAATAACAAAGAACATCTCTCTTGACTCACCCAAAGGAACAAAAGGCTTGGAGGGCATACTGGGCTTGGAGACGCCGACAGCATTGACCGCAAAGATGCGGACCTCGTACGCCACACCTTCAATCATCTTCTTGGGCTCAAAAGTTGTATCCTTGCAGAGTTCAAAATTCAGCCTCATCCACCTGGAGCTTTGTTTCTTTTTCCTTTCAATAAAGTAACCTGCAGGTACACGAAATAAAAACTGAGGGTTTTCTTTGGTCTCCAAAATTAAACTTTGTCAGATATTAGAAATCCTTAAAACCTGGTATTTTCTCAGCACTCTAAGTGAAATGGTCAAACACGTATGTATTTTTAACCCACCTTACTTCACCAGTTTGAGAAAGATTATAGAGAATAAGGGAATACAAGTATTAACATCATAAAATATAGACAAAAACAAAATAACAGGACTAAAAAAGAAGTTAAAATTGTACTAGAATGAGGAAAAAAATGGATAGCAGATATGTAGGCTATGGCAAGTTAGACAGTTGCTATAGGTGAGCAATACAGTCAGAGCCAATAGGGTTGGTTCTGAGTCCCAGCAAGGAAGACAAGAAGGAGGAAACAACCATTTTGTGTGTCTCATTATTACCCAGGGGAAAAATTCTTGTGCTATCACAGAAGCAAATTCTTCTAAGCATTTAACTTTAAAAGAAATTTCTTCATAGAGTTAACCCTATGGAATTAGACATTCACTGACTAGAGCAGTGGAAGTCAGGCTTGTAGGTATTTCAAAATTAGATATTGATTGTAAATGTCAAGCAGAAAGAGAGAACAGGCAATCAGGTGATATTCATAAGAGCTATTCATATCTCCAAGTAAGCACAGAGCATACCAAAATACACATATTTCGATTTGAATGGATATTTAAAGTCACAGTATAGGTTTTCTCCTAAATACAGTATTTTTAAATGTACTTTGTACTAATACACATAAAGACTGGCAGGTACACAGGCTGACCAACATGTAGTTACCCAAGATTGGAGACCCTCCATCGTAGACAGGAGGCTCCCAGTTCATGATGCACCAGTCATCTCCCACCTCTGTCACTTTTGGAGCCACTGGAGGATCAGGGATGTCTGTAGCAGACAGAAAAATTGGATGAAATAAAATAAAATAAGAGAGTGCAAAGAAAAGTGTTAATAAAAATATGGTTTTTGGTGATAAATAATATAGAAACTGTGATTTCTAAGTGCTTTTCCCTGTTCACTGGAATGCACTTAGCAACTAATTTGGGCAAAAAGTCATGCTCAATATGAGATAAGGGAAGGTGAGCCCAGTAAAAATAAACATAATGACATCTCCAAATCCCTTAAATTTGCATCACAACATTATAGAATAAACGCTCCATGGAACCTAAGACTCTTGTTCTTTACCTTGAAAATGATAGCTAAGAAATTATTGTCTAAATGCCAGATGTGGTTGTGGTGGTGGTGGTTGTTATTGTTAACTACAAAGTGAACTGCCAGCAGAACTGAATCAAGGACTAATTATTATAAATTTCACGTCACTTGGAAGATTCAAGATGTTGACTGGTGGAAATCCAATTCAGACATGGCGAGTCACTATGCCTTGTAAATATATAGTTCAATGTCTGATAAAGTGACTGTAGTTTTTGGTCAGCTTGAAATACATCATTTAAGGGAAAACTAAAGTGAGAAGAGGAGATCATGAGACCTCGGAACACTAAAAATCTGCTACACTCAGTTCTACTCAGTTTCAGGCTTAGGAAAAATGTGCTTAGATAATTGTCTAAGGATCAAGGCAGATCTTACTCCTTTATAAAGATTATAATGTGTGAAATTAGTTAGCGATTGTGTTTCAGTGGTGTTTTACAGGGCACCAAAAGGGAATACAACTTTGGAGCCCAAATGGCTGATCTTAGCTACTCATTCCTCCAATGAGAATTCCTCCAGACAAGAAAAAAGAAGAAAAGGAAAGAGAAAGGAAGGAAAGGAAAAGGGAAAAAAAGAGAAGGAAAGAAAAGAAAAGAAGTGGCATAGGTAGAAAAAGAGAGAAGGTGATTTATAAAACATAGCTGTACTGTGTGTTTCTTTTGTTAGTAGCACAGAGAAGCTGAGACAACCAAGAGCTGGCAAAGCCTGCTCTGAGTCTAGACATGTCGGCTTGATTACGGAAGTGTGTTTACCTAGAGGACTTACCCACAACTTTAATCTTGATGCTCGCATGTGCTTCTCCTGCTTCATTTTTCAGATTTATGTGGTAAACACCAGAGTCATCTCTTTCAGCGACATCAATGACCAGAGTGCTGCTATCAGGGTAAGATTCTGCCCTTATCCGGCCACTGCCCTCTGCAATAGCCTAAGAAGGCAAAACACGAAATGTGGCATGATCTACACAACAACGAGGGTTTCTTTAGAGTACCTGGTAACTTGAGATAGACTCGTGGTGTTGATGCCTAATACACATTGTCTCAGTTTAATCCTGCCCCATCTCTAATGACAAAGGTATTATTACACCATTTTACACACAAGGAAACTGAGACTTAACTTGTTCAAGGCCACACAGCTAAGAATTAGCAAAACTAGGATTTGACCCCAAAGCCCTAACCACCGACTCTCCTGAGAGAAAGTCGTAGAACTAAAGATACAAGTACAGAAGTGTCATTCCAGTAGAGGAGTCTCCTTGTGTATGAAATTAGAAACACTCAAATTCATCAGGAACGAAACAGTGATTTGTTCATTTCCTTAGATGTCTTGAAAATTTGAAAATACTAAAAAGGGTTGAAAAGGCTGCAAGACTAATTTTTCACTCAAGTTATTGAATATTGATTTTCCCCTTCCAGCAAAAACATGGAAAAATAAATATCTAATCCCCAAAGTACAGACAGAGTGAGGTTGAGCCCCCTATTGTATTTTCTTTATTTTCTTCTTCTTCTTCTTCTTCTGTTTTTTACTTCTTTCTTAAACCTGAAATTTAAAGCCGTATTACATTTTTCTGATTCCCAGTTCTTATCTTCTATATAACAATGAGTAGCCAACATAGAAAGAAGAAAAACAGAGAAGGTCAAGGTAATTTAGAAACTAGGTTATTTGCCACTAACTACTAAGTTAACTGTACTCTTTTGTGTCTGTATTAGGACTCACAAGTCTTCAATAACATAAGATTGTGACCACAGTAAGAATACCTGAAATAATTTTCTTAATTCTTCTACTTTATAATAGAACAAAATTTCTTCATATTAGCCAAATTCTGATGTAAGATTATAAAAGATGTTCTGCTTTGTTTTTACTGTGAAAAGAAAAATACTTATTTAGGGTGGTGTTACACTATCCACTTCAGTTTCCTATATTTTGTTTTGTTGGTTTGCTTGTTGTGCTATAATTTACATGGAGTAAA